AATGGTTAATCTCACTTTATACCTTGAGAGATGTTTAAATTATCAATTTACACTCTTGAACATTAAAAATCTCAATTTACACTCTTTTTAATGTTATGAATTGATAATAAAATAAATCTAACCTAGATTGTTGTTTAATTATTCCTCATAAATTAAAACACGTGAAATACAGTAGTACTTCAGATAGTTCTCTTAACATTTTTCGTTTCTATAGCGTTTTTCATTGTGGAAACAAACTAAGGTCGAAGGGTAATGTATGAAAATCAAATGGGTGTGTAGTTTATTTATATGGTATTTTGAAAGACTATCCCCTTCCTTCTGAAAGGAGTTCTCTAAACAATTTTGCTTACCATCTTTACATTTCTTAAAACTATTACTTTGACGACATTTTCTCATCAAATCAATTTTTTGTCATTGGATTGATAGTAAACCCGACTAACATGAAGATTTACTACTACCATGATGGCACCAGTGGATACAAAAGCCTTAGAGCTTCTCATTTTTACTGTTTGTTGGTGATGTAACAAAGACTAAAGCTCAACAAAGAGTTCTAATCAATGAGAGAAAAGTTATTGAAGGGGTTTTCTATCTAGTCCCTAATATTTGGTCCAACATATATGACCCAATATTTTTAATTTTTTCTTCGGCAAGGTGTTAAAACTTATACTGACTATTTCTTCGAACTCAACAATTATCACTGTGGATGACCCGATATTTTTAAAGACCTAATTTTATTGATCATTTTGTAAACCTAATCTATCGGGTTGTCAAAGAAATTATGTTATTGACAATGTTCCATGAGAGAGAGGAGAGAGAGAGAGAGAGAGAGAGATGAACCACCACATACTACTTTGCAAGGGTAGTTCAACAGCTACTGGTATTCAGTCAATAGACACTATAGGGCATCCCGGCTTTTNCCATATTTGATCTATTAATCGGTAAAAGCTATGAAGCACGGATACTTCAAAAGGGTCAAAGTATCTGTATTGGATATTTTTGGATACGGATACGCGTTGGATACGTACCGGATACGTCTGAGAAGTATCCTAAAATTAAAAAAAAAAATTAATTTTCGGATATGATCAAATACGTTTTGGATACGCGTGGGATACGCCTAGGATACGCATAAGGATACAACGGGGTATTACTCGAATTTTAAAAAAGTATAAGGGCACAAGAGCAATATATTTAAGCTCTTATTTGCAAAAAAAAAAATATATTATTAAACTAAAAGTTAAAAAGACTAAAACCTGTACACTTTTCTTCCATAGCCCGTCAAGCCTCCCACTCCCTTCAGTCGATACTCGACGACGATCGTCTCTCTCTCTCTCTCTCACTCACTCACATTGATGATCGACTGACTCTGATGGTTAGTTATTATTATATATCTTTGATAGAAGTGTGATTTACTTTATAAATTATAATTATTACATTAAATATAATAATAAAATTTTAAAAAATATATATTTTATGGACGTATCCTAACCGTACCCGTATCCTATTTTTTTGGTTTTGTAGTATCTCTGTACCCGTATCATATCGTATCCGTATCTCATATTCGTATCCGTGCTTTCATAGGGTAAAAGTGATCAAACATATCGTGAAAAATATCTAAATCGTCCCTCACAAAAAACTTGGGCCGAGATTAGAATTAAAATAAATAACATTTAGTGAATTGCACTTTATACATTAAAAATTTTCAGAATTTTTATTTTGCATTCTTAAATATTAGATTTATTACATTACACTCTCAATTTATTAAAAGTGTTATATTGTGTCACTTTTGTTACCTTATATTTCTTATACCTGCAATTTAATCTTTTTCAGGGTGCAAAGTGAAAAAATTTAAATTTTTGAGGATACAAATTAAAATTTTTCCCTAAAATATTTTATAGAAAAAATGTATTTGATAAAATTTTGAAATAGAGAATGAACTCCCTATTTAAAAAATAATAATTCATAATTAATAATATTTAATGAACTATGTATATGTGTCATCTTTTCATTCATTAAAAAATAGAATAGAGAGTGAGTTAGACTCTCCAGATATAGAGAACTAAATAAGACCATCTATTTTAATTAGTCTAAAAAAAGAGCTTATGAAACTTTTTTTTGGGTGGTTGACTATCTAAAATAAAAAATTGAGTGAGAATAAAGAGTTTATTGGAGATGCTCTTACGCAACTTAACTCAGACAGTAAGACTCGATGTATATTGTTTGGTATTTTTTTCACATTATTTTTTAAATATAGTAATTTTAATTTTTTCTAAAAACTTTTGTTATTTCTATTAAACCATGTTTTTATTTTAAAAATGTGTTTACAGAATACGCTCTTAATAAAAATAAATATAACACTATTCTGCCAAAAAAATATTATTTACTTTGAAAAACGTGAATTTTTACACTATTTTCATAAAATTAACTATTGGTTGGAAAATAAGTTAAAAACTATGATAGAAAGAAAATTAGGTTGAAAAATCACAGTTTGAAAGGGAAAAAAATGGTTAATCTCACTTTATACCTTGAGAGATGTTTAAATTATCAATTTACACTCTTGAACATTAAAAATCTCAATTTACACTCTTTTTAATGTTATGAATTGATAATAAAATAAATCTAACCTAGATTGTTGTTTAATTATTCCTCATAAATTAAAACACGTGAAATACAGTAGTACTTCAGATAGTTCTCTTAACATTTTTCGTTTCTATAGCGTTTTTCATTGTGGAAACAAACTAAGGTCGAAGGGTAATGTATGAAAATCAAATGGGTGTGTAGTTTATTTATATGGTATTTTGAAAGACTATCCCCTTCCTTCTGAAAGGAGTTCTCTAAACAATTTTGCTTACCATCTTTACATTTCTTAAAACTATTACTTTGACGACATTTTCTCATCAAATCAATTTTTTGTCATTGGATTGATAGTAAACCCGACTAACATGAAGATTTACTACTACCATGATGGCACCAGTGGATACAAAAGCCTTAGAGCTTCTCATTTTTACTGTTTGTTGGTGATGTAACAAAGACTAAAGCTCAACAAAGAGTTCTAATCAATGAGAGAAAAGTTATTGAAGGGGTTTTCTATCTAGTCCCTAATATTTGGTCCAACATATATGACCCAATATTTTTAATTTTTTCTTCGGCAAGGTGTTAAAACTTATACTGACTATTTCTTCGAACTCAACAATTATCACTGTGGATGACCCGATATTTTTAAAGACCTAATTTTATTGATCATTTTGTAAACCTAATCTATCGGGTTGTCAAAGAAATTATGTTATTGACAATGTTCCATGAGAGAGAGGAGAGAGAGAGAGAGAGAGAGAGATGAACCACCACATACTACTTTGCAAGGGTAGTTCAACAGCTACTGGTATTCAGTCAATAGACACTATAGGGCATCCCGGCTTTTGAACATGTATTGCTTTGATCGGATCAAAATTTCGTTTTAAAATAGTCGAAATAATCAAAAAATTTCCATTTAGTAAGGAAACCAAATTTAATCAGCAATAGAGACAAAATTTTAATGCTTAGAGATATTACAAAATATTTTGACATGTTTCTACTATTTTTTTGGAATATTTCAAGGTGCTTTAAAATGCTTTGGCATATTTCAACCATTATTTAAAATGTTTTAAAAATAAACTCCCAATTTTTTTATTTGTTTCCATGCTGTTTTCAAAATATTTCTGAAGCGTTTTTATTTTCCAGATGACCAAAATAATGCACTAAAACAAAATTTTGATACTAACAAGCAAAAGATCAAGTGGTCTTTCTTACTTCACATCAGAGACATCATATTAGCAAATACATGCATTCCTTATCTTAATACGTGAAAGCAATGAGGTATTAACTCAAAGGAGTACTAGAAAACTGCTAACGGCATTGGGCCTCCTGCGGGTAATGAGAANACAACGAGGTATTAACTCAAAGGAGTACTAGAAAACTGCAAACGGCATTGGGCCTCCTGCGGGTAATGAGAAACTTAAAAATTGAAGCACAGTTCTTNGCAATGAGGTATTAACTCAAAGGAGTACTAGAAAACTGCTAACGGCATTGGGCCTCCTGCGGGTAATGAGAAACTTAAAAATTGAAGCACAGTTCTTTGCATCCCACTATAGTTAATTCCTATAAAAATAGAAAACGAGAGACCCAACACAATTAAAAAATGAAGAGAAAAAAAAAAAGTGAAAAAAATTTATCTTTCTTACTTCACCTAGCAAAATATGTCATGACAATATTGAGTACTTACTTCAGAAGTGGAGACTGAAATAACAGTTAGATGCAAATGAGAAACTTGCAGGCTTAACAGTGGCATTAGTTCAAATGCTAGACCCGCCAGTTCACTGTTCACATGCCTTTAATGGGTTCTCCGACGTGGGCGTGCTAGCTAGTATCTGCATTGGTGCAGTGCGTGCTCTGGCTGGCATGCCACATGACCTCTTGGAAGCCATTTGTTCACTTGCACGCATATTTTTTTCTGAATCCAAGATTAAACAACAATCATTGAGAAATTCTGCAAAAACTGGCAAGAGACCTTACTCAATACTCCATTCTTTCATGTCAATATTTGTTCTTCACTTATACAGCCAATCAACAGACGTAGTACAGCAAGAAGTTAAGTCAAAAAACTCATAAAACATGGACATACTCAGAAATGGNGATATTTGTTCTTCACTTATACAGCCAATCAACAGACGTAGAGTACAGCAAGAAGTTAAGTCAAAAAACTCATAAAACATGGACATACTCAGAAATGGTTGGTACACCCAACAATCTGAGATATAGATGCCAAATGATCAAGATAATTGGATAAATAGCTTATCATCAAAGTAGATACGAGGATATACACCAACACAGATTCAGATGACATCCAAAACATGAAACAAACCTGGCATCTATGTTAGACCTCCTGAAAGTTTTTATACATGATCATGCAATTGCAACAGTTTTGCAGCAAATGATTTATTCTTTTCTATTCAGTGATCAGCAAACCTTCAATCCGTATTTTTTGCTGTTTCTTCCATAGGATCCAGTTTCTCAGCCACCACAGGGGGACTAGTGATAGACCCATGAATCTGTTAATGCAAATAAGTGAGATTTTGAAGGATAAGGTGCAACCTACCATGGAATCTAGTATCATCAAAACAATTCACAATGAACATATGAAAGCTTACCATGGTATGTGACTTCATACCCAAAGCATCATGAGCAGGCGTTACAGATGAGTCGGAGGAGGGCCTGTGAAACAGCAAGTGTGCTACAGACCGATCTATGGGATTTGTATCAGTTTCCATATCCATAAAGCCGGCACACCTGAAATAGAAGTCATTACACAAAATGAGATACACAAAACCAACTCAGGCATTAGAGAACTTACATAAAAACCACAGCAAACAACATGAATAGGAACATTCCGTGCTTCACATTTCTCAAGTAATTCCATCTTTAAATTGTTACCCTATTGTTAGGAAGAAAAGATCTTTCAGTCCAATAATCCAGAACAACCATTTTTCTTCAATTAATCTTTTTTTGTTACTAGTTTTGATAATTGTGGGGGATGGGGGTGGGTTTCCACTATCTTTTTCTACTGTTCGCCTCATGCACATATTGAGAAGTCCCATATGAGAAGTGGATAATTGTATTTCGGGGCGATGGCGATGGGTTTCCATTATCTTTTTCTATGGTTCCCTGCCTGCATATATTTGCAATTCTCAAATGAGAAGCAAAAAATTGAAAATGAAAAACTATGGTAGAAAGTGAACAAAGCCAAGTAGGAAACATGCACAAGGAATTTGAGGAATCAAAATGTTATAAGTTAACAAAGAGAGAACATATGTCACATTGCATAATTTTACGCCTCTTCTAGAGCAGATCTTTTACAAGCTAAACAGTGGTTCCAAACTTTTTAGGACTGGGGACATTTGATGAAGAAGGTGGTGAAGAGAACACAGAGACAGAGGAGGGAGAAAAAACATTCACTTCCTTCGTCAAATCATATCTGCACAAAGATAAGTTCTAACATCATCCTTGACAATCATTGTTTATTAACAACCCATCTCTTAATGAAATCTCAAATGTTTTAAGTTAGTGAACATATATCTCACATGCCCAACTCGGCCACTTTCACAAAGAACACTAAAGGTCCCAGACCCTTCACTTCTGATTACAATATCTTGAAGTGGATCTTTACTTTAGACACAGTATTTCTAGTTGACTTCCACCTAATCAACCTATATGTGCTGAGTTGTTGATTTTGCACTACTCATAGCAACATTAATATCACATAGCAATATCATGTGTCACCAGTCAACCCCCAATCTTATGGTGTCAACAATCAAGCTAGCCACATGGACTTTTGTCTTTTTTAAATCCTTACAGCAGTCATAGAAGTCTTATTGGACATAGTACATCTGTTCTTGTAAACTCACACTCTGTAAGCCGCATTCCAATTATTAGCTCAAGGAATTCATGAATTGGATAAAATCACCAATTACATACACGAAACCAAGTCTAACAAGAGATGCCTGCATAAAATTACTGACCAGCTTCTGTTACTACACTGTAAATTGATGTTATAGATAGGATTTAATCCTGAAATTCCAGTAAATCAGGTCAGTTAGGTCGGGAAAAGAAGAGAGTTGACACTCTCTCTTCTGCATTAGATTTGAATATGAAGGATTTGCTAAGTCATAGGAACTAATTCTATTGAAAGACAGCAGTGAATGAAAGTGCAGAATGAAAGCAACGATTGCATACTTGTTTGTTCCGTCAGCCATCAGTGCCCCACTGGTATCTCTATCATCTCCGCAGCTTCCATTCAGATTTTCATGTTTATGCCTTTGTTCAGCACTTCTAGCAAGACGGTACAAACTATCCCGTATGCATAGTTTCGTCCTTAAATCCAACTGAAGTTAAGCAGAATGAGCTATTCAGTTCCTCAAATGTAGACGAAAAGTGGACAACTACAGAAACTGAACATTGCAGCCTTACATGATGCTCAATTCTTTGCAAAACAGTAAAATTTTGACAACAATTCAAACCTATTTTTCCCCAATCATTTTCATTCATCCCAACCCAATGCCTACATGCCGCACACAAGGATTTGCCTGCATGACAACATCATGCACAAAGACTGTAGATCGCGAAATGTAATAGTGATATGAAGCCTTTTTATGCACACATGAGATATTTTTTGAACGTTTACTCCATAGTCATGCTATAGAAATTGTTCATAAGACAACGATCAGATTTGCAAACCCTATACTGCTACATTCAAGCAGAATAAGGTTTTCATATGTGTGAATGTGTAAGTAGGGCCTTCCATGATATTTTAAGCCAGAGCTAGAGACGCATAAAAGGTGAGATACTCCCAAAGAACATATTTTCACATGGGCAAAAACACATTAGAATAGGCCCATACATTCTTTTAGTGCCAATATATGCAAAGCCACATGCTTTATAACTTACAAAGAATACTATCTGAACCATAGTAGTATACCTGTTCTGTGACAAGTTGAAGTTGACGAAAACTAGTTGCTTCCAGCGAGACTTCTTCTAACCCTGTACTCATAGAAGAGCTTTCCAATGCATTTGAAGAACCTTCTACTGAAATTTGTATGCTAACTCCTTCAACATCACTGTGATTTTCAAATTTATTACCAGAATGATGGACTTGCTTCCGAACTGAAACTGGACCACAATTTGAAGCCTGAACAACCATATCCACGTGTTTAGGATTGCCAGTAAATGACGGGTGCAATCCTTGCCTGTGATGTAGTTTTTGTTTCTTTTCAATAAGGGTTATAGCAGTCCCCTCAAACGAAGGATCTTGTGAGCTCTCCATAGACTGCACCTGATTTGATGCATTGGAAGACTCCTTTGAGGATCGATATGTGAATTCCTTATTTTCAGATTTAATACCAGATGGAGCTGGACTACTTGTACTTGTCCCTGAAGGATAACTATAGTCTGAATGCATATAAGGAATCTCGCTCTGAAAGTAGCCCAAGGAATTGTGTCCCATGTAATGAAACGAAGGACCATTTTCCAAGTGTAGGTCTAGCCTTTTTCGATCAGATGGGCTCGTGCGCTTTGACTGCCTTTTATTGATCTGTCATTTTGACATTATGCAATTAATAGAGGTCGAAATTTCTCATTTCCAGAAAGCAGATAGATTTGAAAGTTGAGCAACTGAACTAGACCACCTTTCAGGTGCAAACCAAGTTACATGAATGCATTTCAAATGTATAACAATCCAAAGTGTGGCAACATACCGTTCCACTGTTGTCATTTTTCGGGTGGTTGGTATCTGAAATTTTGAACTGGGATCTACCATTGAACTCAACTCCCTGCAAAAACAATCACTGAAATTAGGATCCTTTTGGATTCGAAAACTGAAATCCAGGATTTCTGAAAATAAAACTCAAAATGAAAAAAGAAAACGACATTAACTTCAAAATAAAATGACATGAATGACCTGCTCTTTTGGCATCAACTGATCCTTGGTTTTAGCAACCATAACAGACCCATTAGCAAAAGATAAATGACTGAGAGTGGCAGACTCATCATCCTCTGATAGCTGAGAACTATATTTATTGCTAACAGAAGCACTTTTCATGCTCGAGTCATTGATTGAACAACCCAAATTATCCAGCGTGGAAGGATCATGATTTTCGGATACATTTTTAAATGCACTTGACTCAGGACATGTAAACTTAGACACATCTTTTGATCCATCAATACCATCTGATGATGAAAACCAACCCAACTCATCTTCATTTCCAACTCCCCGAAGGCCAAAGGTAGTATCACAACTTCTGAAATGTAAATCAAACAATCAAATAAACAAGAAAATAAATATGAATGTACACAATAATGAAAGGACAAAGAGAAACAAAGGGAGGGTTTCAAGCATTACCTAAACATCCTGTCCACGTCCTCAAAGTTTCCAATATCGGGCCAACCATAATATAACAGATTACTAGATTCTTTATCCCCGTGATTATCGTCAAAAAAACTGAGGTCATTGTCTGTTTGAGAAATGTGACTCAGTGGATAATCATAGGGGTTATTATCAACTACAGCACAATTGTCACTGAAGAGAGAATCATCAGCAGAAAACTCACCCCCAAATGAATCTACATTGCTACTCTTGAAGCACTGACTTGTTATCCTAGTATTGTCAGATGCTAAACTTGTCACTTCTTTGATTAAGTCATTATCACATGAAGCAGGAAGTAAACCATCAGGTGTTTTAGACCATGAATTATTTTCCAACATTGTATTCCTTCTCTCATTCAGAGTTGAAAAGTCTCTTTTCTCCTTTCCCTGACTGACACATTTAACAGCATTCGGGCCTCCAGAACTATTTGCAACACCACCTACTTCACGGCGAGGTTTCTTCGGGCTATCTCCTTGAAATGTATGTTCATAGGTTTGTTCGTCACTAGGATGAGGTACAATATGATCATCGCTCAGACCAAATTCATCCCAAATGATATCTTCAAGCTGTACCAGTAGTTACAGAATTTTAGGTGTAATAACTGCAGAGTTAACAACATATTTTAAAAATATTTTCTACAACATATGAAAAATAAAATAAGCATAGCTTGTGAATAACTGGTGAATGATAGTAACACATTCCAAGCATGAAGAATATTCCGACTGCAATCATCACTTGACAGCCCATAAAGGTACACAGACAGAACCTTCTGAAAGCGATGATTTCGCAAAACTAAAGGGATAATTGAGCACTAATTCAAGGATAAAATTCAGAAGGAATTCAAGATAAACCCTTAGACAAGGCAAATTAAGATGGAAACAAAAGCCCGACACCATTTCAACAAAGCATAGACTATAGCGAAAGATAGTTCCACAATATGGTCATATAAGGTCAGAGGCGTATAACAGATCTCCATTACTTGTGATATGGCAGAAGTTACTCAAAACTAGAGAAGAAGAAGTGAAGGGAACTTTTGTGCATGTGTTAATGTGCCTCCATGAACTTAAAATTTTTGAATGAGAAATTCTAACAAATACCATGTCACTGGTGGAGAGGTCTTATAGAATGTTTTCGTCAAGAATGAAGATATATTGAAGCAAATGACGAATATGAAAGTTAGATGTTAAGGAAAGAATTTATGTCAATTTACAACCAAAATAATCAAAGAAGCGAAACAAATGACAACAGAAATTGTTGGTGTGGAGTACGTATACTAATCATTTTCGAGGGAGGCATCCTCTGCATGAACTACATTCCTCTTAAATTATTGTTTCTAACCAAACTAAGATCATCCCAAAACATTCAAGCCATTATCAATTATATTCAGCTTCTTTATATACACGGACATATCACTAGGAATGAATTTGTATCAAGCAACAACATTCAAGTTCAATTGCAAAGTTAGATCCCTTCTGGATTTTTCTTCAAGGTACACCTTGCCATATGAGTATACATATATATTCTGTTTAAATACCTAAATCTGAACTTAACTCAAAAATGCCTTGTCCAAACTATTTCAAGTTGGGTGCATGGACCTTATTCCTTCATTGTGCTCTATTAAAGGTTATATTGTATGTTAAATCACAAACTATCAAATACTACTCTTTTACCATCTCATTCACAACTAATCTTAGAGTATAACACTCTGTTAAGAGAGCTTCTATCCCACATCGAATAATTAAGACTACCAAGGTTAGTTTATATACTTGAAAGGTCACTCCACCCCATGCCAATTGGTTTTGGGTTGGATGCTCGCACGTGGTACTAGAGTTGTGTCTTGGGTGGTGTGACCAAGTTTCTTACCCATTTGAATTTCCCGATATGCATGGCTATTTGTTTGTTTGTTTGTTGAGGGAGGATGTTAAAAGAGCTTGTATCCCACATCGAATAATTAGGCCACCAAAGTTGGTTTATATATTTGAAGGGCCACTTCACCCATTGCCAATTAGGTTTGGATTGAATACTCTAACACACTCATTAAATATTTATTTTCCAAAAGGAAGCATTTCATGGAACCTATAACAATTATTCAAAAGAGTGAATACACCGGTAAGAAATAGTGATTTGATACATATCAATGGTAATCCAAGCGACAGACGTAAGCTTAAAATAGCTGTTAACGAAATAGTAAAAATGATGTGATAGTTTATGACCTAACAGAACATATGACTCTTGATAGAGTGCAATGGAGAAATAGGATTCATGTAGCCAACCCCAAATAGTTGGGATTGAGGCTTATTAAGTTGAGAGTATAAGTTGATTGACGATACTCCTAGCAAACAATAGGATGATAAGAAAGTTTTGATAGTGTTTTGTTGTCATACGATACCTATCAAGTTAAACCAATGTTTTGTATGGCAACTTATAGAGCTAGGCATGCGCAATTGTCCCAAACAGTAGGCAGCCAAGAGACAACATGTTCAAAATGAGCTCAACAAAAAGAGGATTCTCAAATACGTAAGTAGCAACAAGAGCATCGGAAAAAAATAAAGAAATGAATCCATAAAAAGAGTTAAGAGGTGACATCTATTAAAGAAAAGTAGAAGAACGTTGTTCAAGCAGTCATATCATCTCAGATGGGTACATTCTTTGGTAGGGAGAAATAGTTGGATTTACGATGAAGGGACCAAAAGAACAATAAGATGTCAAATGAAAAAGTTACACTTCGATAATTACTAAGAAGAGGTTAACTAAAAAAATTAGAGTTCTTCTGCAATACTTCTTAATACACTTTCTTCCCTTTGTTGTCGAGTCCTCAAAACCCCAGGAACCTTAATCAAGGTCCATCGAAACCAAAACCACTAATCAAGTTTCCAAAGGTTTATGAAACATAAGACTAATCATAAATGCAAAACAGAAAAATAAGATTCATTCATGTAGTAAGAAAGCCAAGTAGTAGGGACAAGGTGTTGTTGAGCTGAGTTTAACACTAAGCAAACTAGATTTAAAAGTATGCCACAAACTTTATCGAAAACTTAACATTCAGATCTAAAAATTCCTAGACATTATAGTAGGGAAGGGTGTAGGTAATCCTTGTCTCACTCAAATGAAGCCCGTGCCTCACTCAGTCACACCTAAGACCTAGCAGACCTTGGCACCTTAATGCATCTTGTGCCTTAAGTAGGAAGTCACTGGGGCAGTTCGTGTACCCTTTACAACACATTCTTCAAGAAATTTAAGAATGAGAAACCTTTATTGATGTAAGCAATAAAGAAGAAAGATTTCATGCTTGAAATTTCAATGGCTAATTTGTTGCAAATAATAGCACACAGAACGCAATTAAGTTAATCAATACACTAAGAAGAATTTTGTTGGATCCCATCAGTAGATCTAAAAATTGACTAAGCAATAAGAATCCATAGTCCATCAACACTCAGCCAATAAAAACAGTCACAAAAATAACTAGCCAGGATATAGCAATAAGCACAAAATGGTTTTTCTCTCTCTTGAATAAATGAAAATAAATTCCTACCTCATACATGCACGAGTCTGACATTCCTTCAACTTGTACTACCCAGCACTGACACTAAAAGCAATTTTCTGAATTGATGTCATATTTAGCACTCCAATCCCACCTTGACCTCCATTTGCCAAATTTGTTTAACCAACAAACAAAGAAGAAGAGTTATATACCAATACCCACCTTTTTTGGCTGCTAAAAAACATAAATCAAGTGAAAAAAAATTAAAACTATATTCCCTTCCACAAACTTTAAAACCAATCCCTCAACAAATCCAAAATGGTAAATCAAGCTCAGTTTAGTGAAATTACAGCTTCCTATAGTGCCAAAACTGAAACTTTAGTCTCAGTATCACTTTTTCTTTCATTTCCCCCACTTTCTCAGCAGCCAAGCAAAACCCAAATCGAAAAATCTAAAATTTATCAAAAAGGAAAACTAGAGCCAATAAAAAGCAATCAAACCAAAGCTAAGCCACCATGAAACTTTATACTCAAGATTACATTTTCTTTCATTTTCCCTCACTTTCTCAGCATCCAAGCAAAACCCAATTCAAAAAAATCCAAAACTTAAACAACAATAGCCAGCAAAAAGCAACAAACCCAAAGCTAAACCACTGTTTCTACAGATCTTGCCAAAAAAGTAAAAACTCACCTGAAGTCACCAACTCTGCCCAAAAACGAAGACTGCGATCCAAAGAACAGTGAACAAAACCCTAAATCCGATGCTTAGAGAGACAAATCTCGTAGGTTCTAGAGACGGAGGGAGAGAGAGAGAGAGGACTTTGAGAGCTTTGAAAAAACAACTCCGAATATTTTAACAAAATATATTATTTAAACGAATGAGAGTCACAGGTGACACGTGGCGTGAAGATCAAAACAAGGCGGCAGCGAGAAGATGTGTATCAGAATTCGTGGACGAGAGAGGGGGTCCGATATGCGATCTGTTTCTGACCTTTGATTGGTCCACTTGTCCACCCACTTGTGAGTATCTGACACGTGTCAGTTACATTCAATGGGACCCACACAGTGGTGATTATCTGACACGTGTCGGTAAACTTATGTGGTGGGACCCAGATAGAGGTAGACACGGGTCGGTTGGACTTTTGTGGCGGGGTCCACACTGGTGGAAGTGTGTAGTGTAGTGATTGGTGACATTTGTTTACTTTGCTTAAGCACTTATTCTTTCTAATTTTTTATTGGTAATGCTGTGGTTAATTATTAGGCTGATTGGATTAATTTAATATTTTTTTATGACCGACTTATTGTTTTTTTTAATTATTGTGAGGTTAATTTATATGGTGATCTGTCAGTAATATATAATATTAATTAATTAAAAAGATGGTGACAGTGAAAGGCAATGTGATGACTATTTGACTATTAACTTCGCTTTGTTTTTCCGCATTTATTGTTTTTTTTTTTGTTTTAATAACATTTTTTATATCAACAGTTTGTTTATTTTGTGGGCTTGGGTGGGATTTGATAAAATAAAAATTAGAAGTAAGTCCTTTTTAGGAATCTTTTTTGTTGTTAAGTCTAAGCTCTATTCTTTTCAAAGATTAAAGACACCTGTGACATTCTTATTAGTCCTCTAATTCAAATTAATTACACTATTTTTTTATTACTTAGACGCCCTTGAGTGTAGTGGCTCTGTCATAAACCCTTTTTTTTTTTGGAAAGGAGAGGGAGGAAAAAGACTTGAATTTTTAACATCAAGAAAACAAAATCTTCACAGTATCATTAAACAAAATGCTCATTGATCACTATCAGAAACCCTAGTCTCCATCTATCTCCCATGATCTTCAAGGTTGTCGAGATTGTTTAGATGTCTCCTCTTCGATGGCATCGCCACCGTAGGCAGTTGCTACGCCTTCTCCGTCACCTTCTGCCACCATGAAGCCACTTGTCTCTGCTCCAATCTAATCACCGACTGAGGCTCCTAAAGCTTATTTGCATGCTTTCCCAAAAGCTCCTATTTTGTCTCCTTATGCAGTCTCTNACAGTTTGTTTATTTTGTGGGTTTGGGTGGGATTTGATAAAATAAAAATTAGAAGTAAGTCCTTTTTAGGAATCTTTTTTGTTGTTAAGTCTAAGCTCTATTCTTTTCAGAGATTAAAGACACCTGTGACATTCTTATTAGTCCTCTAATTCAAATTAATTACACTATTTTTTTATTACTTAGACGCCCTTGAGTGTAGTGGCTCTGTCATAAACCCTTTTTTTTTTTGGAAAGGAGAGGGAGGAAAAAGACTTGAATTTTTAACATCAAGAAAACAAAATCTTCACAGTATCATTAAACGAAATGCTCATTGATCACTGTCAGAAACCCTAGTCTCCATCTCTCCCATGATCTTCAAGGTTGTCGAGATTGTTTAGATGTTTCCTCTTCGATGGCATCGCCACCGTAGGCAGTTGCTACGCCTTCTCTGTCACCTTCTGCCATCATGAAGCCACTTGTCTCTGCTCCAATCTAATCACCGACTGAGGCTCCTAAAGCTTATTTGCATGCTTTGCCAAAAGCTCCTATTTTGTCTCCTTATGCAGTCTCTACTACTCCATCCATCTCCATCGCTCCTGGTGCTACCCTGACTTCGCTTCTTGATAACACTACCGTTTTGAACAGAGTCGCAGTTGCTAAATCAGTCAACATAGCATTCTCTACAGTGGAGCTATTACTATAGATCTAATCTAGTAAACAGTTCTTGATATTGAAATGCATTGAAATATTGGATATTGAAATCAATTCCAAGTATGCATTTGAAATGCTTATATTCGAACTCCGAAGAATGGAGAATAAAAGCACCTCTTTTAATTCTTGTTATAATTGTTGCAAAGAACAAACCATCACAAAGGAGTATCACATAGATGAATAAATTGCAATGAATTCCCCCTCTTGCTCTTTTTTATGATAACAGACTCATCCACCATGTCAATAGCTCTATAAGAACTCAATAATATTCCAAATGGGTATTTTAAAGATTGAAGAATAAAACCTACAACACTCAAATAANAAAATGCTCATTGATCACTATCAGAAACCCTAGTCTCCATCTATCTCCCATGATCTTCAAGGTTGTCGAGATTGTTTAGATGTCTCCTCTTCGATGGCATCGCCACCGTAGGCAGTTGCTACGCCTTCTCCGTCACCTTCTGCCACCATGAAGCCACTTGTCTCTGCTCCAATCTAATCACCGACTGAGGCTCCTAAAGCTTATTTGCATGCTTTCCCAAAAGCTCCTATTTTGTCTCCTTATGCAGTCTCTGCTACTCCATCCATCTCTATCGCTCCTGGTGTTACCCTGACTTCGCTTCTCGATAACATTACCGTTTTGAACAGAGTCGCAGTTGCTAAATCGGTCAACATAGCATTCTCTGCAGTGGAGCTATTACTATAGATCTAATCTAGTAAACAGTTCTTGATATTGAAATGCATTGAAATATTGGATATTGAAATCAATTTCAAGTATGCATTTGAAATGCTTATATTCGAACTCCGAAGAATGGAGAATAAAAGCACCTCTTTTAATTCTTGTTATAATTGTTGCAAAGAACAAACCATCACAAAGGAGTATCACATAGATGAATAAATTGCAATGAATTCCCCCTCTTGCTCTTTTTGATGATAACAGACTCATCCACCATGTCAATAGCTCTATAAGAACTCAATAATATTCCAAATGGGTATTTTAAAGATTGAAGAATAAAACCTACAACACTCAAATAATGTAGCATTCACAATAAGTGAGTTACTTGTGAAAACAACAGTAGGGTGTTTAATACAATAAATCATGACTACTGAAACAAAATGTGAGTTTTGTAATTGAGTTATATGTTTCATGTTACTGATTCATGTTACTATTGGAACAAACGGTGAACTGATTCTGTTTATTTCCCTATTATGCTCAATGTTATTGTCTTTGATTTTAAATGTTATTGTTTTTTTNAATAGCTCTATAAGAACTCAATAATATTCCAAATGGGTATTTTAAAGATTGAAGAATAAAACCTACAACACTCAAATAATGTAGCATTCACAATAAGTGAGTTACTTGTGAAAACAACAGTAGGGTGTTTAATACAATAAATCATGACTACTGGAACAAAATGTGAGTTTTGTAATTGAGTTATATGTTTCATGTTACTGATTCATGTTACTATTGGAACAAACGGTGAACTGATTCTGTTTATTTCCCTATTATGCTCAATGTTATTGTCTTTGATTTTAAATGTTATTGTTTTTTTTATCACCATTGTATTGACGTTATTGTTTATGTCCATATTGTTGTTTTCAATCATTACTGTGTTCATATTATTGTTTCATGTTACTATTATGTTCAATGTTATTGTTTTTCACTTACATACGAAGTCAAGTTTTGATAAAATCGACTTTTATTCGTTTTCTTTTGTGAGGGAAAACAGTTAGGGGTATTTTGAACAATTGCTACACAAATGTGCTTAAAACTAACATAATTTTCAAAATGAACTTAAAACCTAATAAGAGCTCAAATATGGACCAATCTCCAAATTTCCATTTGATAAAAATAGTTTAATGGACCTTCAAATATTTTATTAGATTTTTTTGAAGGTCTGTACTTAATATAGCACTTAATTGTATAAAAGTGCTTAGTANGACTTTTATTCGTTTTCTTTTGTGAGGGAAAACAGTTAGGGGTATTTGAACAATTGCTACACAAATGTGCTTAAAACTAACATAATTTTCAGAATGAACTTAAAACCTAATAAGAGCTCAAATATGGACCAGTCTCCAAATTTCCATTTGATAAAAATAGTTTAATGGACCTTCAAATATTTTATTGGATTTTTTTGAAGGTCTGTACTTAATATAGCACTTAATTGTATAAAAGTGCTTAGTAAAAAAATTTTTGTACCAAGTCCCTTACTTTTGTGAACGACAAAAATACCCACAAAATTATACTAACCTTCAACTAATATTCCACTAAAAACATGGGCAACTAATTACCATTTGAAAACAACCGGAAGTCATGTACCAGTCGTATTAAATCCGGCAACTAATATATTACTAAAAACATGGGTTTTAAAATTTAAACAAAATTTGCCACCAAAAAATGCCATAAAATTTATGAGATTTCAACCAAATTAAAAACACAAACAACCAAAAATGGTGAGGAGAAAAAAAATTTCGCCTGTATAACAACACAGTCTTTTTAAGGAATGACAGTGTTATATTGCAGTGTAACAATGCAATGAATAATAATTTATTTGTCATATTGTGACAGAAAAATGTGGATACATTTCCTGAGTTATACACTAGGACTAAATGCTATGTTTGACACATCGTGACATTAAAAAACGAATTGGAGAAATCCAACGCTCGNTGAGTTATACACTAGGACTAAATGCTATGTTTGACACATCGTGACATTAAAAAACGAATTGGAGAAATCCAACGCTCGATTCCTACACTTGCTAAAAGATGGATTCATGGGCAACCTTGTTATCCTTGTAAAGGAAATATAAACCTAGAAACGATTCTGTAGCAGCACCTACAATGAGAGACCCCAACCTTACTCTTAGGAAGTACCCCATCTCTTTCTCTCTCTCTCTTCTCAAATTTCTTCTCTCTGTTTCAAATTTGGTGATGATCATTGATTGTTAATTGAACTCAACCACCGTTTTTTCGTTTGTTGATGAATTAATGTCGTTCACACTTATTAGTAAGAACGATGAACCTTTGGTCTAATAGTACTTTTTATCTTGTGAAGATTTTATCTTCTTGAGATTAAGGGTCTAAGTCCTCCCCCCTTCCAAAAAAAAAAATTAGCAAGCTTCTTTAATTAAATGGTTTTTTGAAGGCTGGTACCCAATATAATAATATGATTTATGTTTAAAATTCAAATAAGTTGATCTATTAAAATAGAAAAACCTTAATATAATAAAACAAATTTCACCAAAAAAAAAAAGGGGATTATCAAATTAAACAGTTCAAGAATTATAGAAAAATGGTTTTTTAGTAAAGGAGAAATTTTAAAAACTATCAATGTGTATTCAGATGCAATACATTTCCAGTAAAAAGTACTTATATACAAAAAAATTTAAATTAAGGTATTTTCTCACAATTGAGTAGTTTAGAAGGTACCTTCTCACAATTTTCCATACTTTATTTGATTGGAAATTTTATGCCCGAGATGTAGAGGATCTATTTTCCATACTAGAGTTGATTGAAGCCCACATATGTAGGCTGGAACAAACCCGAGGGGGGTGGTTTGAGGGTTAGCTAGTCTGGATAAGAAAAGAAAAAGACATTAGTACCCCTAAACATGGGTATAAATTAAATTGGACAAAGGGCAATTTAGTTAATTTTATGACAAATATTTTGTTATACTTGAAATCAATACACGGGGCCTCACATGTATTTATGCACCTTATCAAACATAGAATTTGATAGGATACATTGTTTCAATTTATTTACAAAATTTTGGGGTTGAGTTTGAAAGGTTTTATAAATATAGGGTTTTTTGTATTTTGTACATTCAAAGATTAAATTTTTCATATTACACCCACAATGTATCAAAAATATTGTAATATTGTCTTTCGATCTGTTAACTTTTATTATTTTTTCTGTCAAAAATCAATTCACTGACAATGACAAAAAAACTAACGAAAACTAACAAAAAAATGAGATACTAGAAGGAATAAATTGAAAAATCAAAATATCAAAAACAAAAAATAATATATATAACTAATCCATCTCTTCTTCTCTTTTTGATGTGAGTGATCATTTAGTATTTTATTTGACTATGTGATTGTTACTTTACAGGAGACGCTAAATGATTAAATAAACTAGGTCCATTTAACGACTATGATATTTCATTGAGCACACACTCGGCATTCTCTCTTTCACACATCAAGGACCTGCAAGTTGCACAAGAAGCCATAACAACAAGGTAATATCAAGTTTGGCACATTCAAAGGTTGCCAAACGAGTTGAGCTGCTCGAGTTTGATTAAGACTCGACTAAGTCTTAATTATATGAATCAAACTTAGACATATGATCTAAAAGTCTTACTTAACCTGAACAAGAATTTAAACCGACAATTGAACTGAGCTCAATTTAAACTAGTGATAGTAGACTTGAGTCTAGTCAATCATATAAAAGTTTACAAGACGGCTTAGCTTGATTAACACCTATATTTGCAATTATCAAGTAATATACTTAGTAACAAAAATCAATATCGGCCTACAAAATCATGTTTTTAGTTTTTTTGGGTTTAAAGGTCAGGGGAGTCCGGATTAACTTAGGCACACCACGATTAATTCTCTTCCCGGTCTTGTCAAAGATNGTACATTCAAAGATTAAATTTTTCATATTACACCCACAATGTATCAAAAATGTTGTAATATTGTCTTTCGATCTGTTAACTTTTATTATTTTTTCTGTCAAAAATCAATTCACTGACAATGACAAAAAAACTAACGAAAACTAACAAAAAAATGAGATACTAGAAGGAATAAATTGAAAAATCAAAATATCAAAAACAAAAAATAATATATATAACTAATCCATCTCTTCTTCTCTTTTTGATGTGAGTGATCATTTAGTATTTTATTTGACTATGTGATTGTTACTTTACAGGAGACGCTAAATGATTAAATAAACTAGGTCCATTTAACGACTATGATATTTCATTGAGCACACACTCGGCATTCTCTCTTTCACACATCAAGGACCTGCAAGTTGCACAAGAAGCCATAACAAGGTAATATCAAGTTTGGCACATTCAAAGGTTGCCAAACGAATTGAGCTGCTCGAGTTTGATTAAGACTCGACTAAGTCTTAATTATATGAATCAAACTTAGACATATGATCTAGAAGTCTTACTTAACCTGAACAGGAATTTAAACCGACAATTAAACTGAGCTCAATTTAAACTAGTGATAGTAGACTTGAGTCTAGTCAATCATATAAAAGTTTACAAGACGGCTTAGCTTGATTAACACCTATATTTGCAATTATCAAGTAATATACTTAGTAACAAAAATCAATATCGGCTTACAAAATCATGTTTTTAGTTTTTTTGGGTTTAAAGGTCAGGGGAGTCCGGATTAACTTAGGCACACCACGATTAATTCTCTTCCCGGTCTTGTCAAAGATAGGTTATCTACGCCCGGGACTAGAGGATTCATAAAGAATAAACTTCTCATAGCCTGACCCCAATGAGTTGTCAAAATTCAAACTCAGAACGTCTGTATTTACAGTTCATCTCTGTTAACGAATTATGTTTTGCAAAAGAATAATTGAACTAACTTTAAAACATTATAACTTGGTTACGATACAAAGTTTTGATGCACACAAATATCTACAAACTATGGACAAACCAAATGTCTCAACAAGAAACAAAAATGTTAAGCTCAAACACACAAGCACTATGGGATTGGAAACAGAAAGTTTAGTTCTGTCTCCTGACTGGATCATAAAACAAATATATTTTTTTTTTGATCAGTGATCATAAAACAAATTGGAAAACCTGCATCTTTGAACTAAAACAATTCGATGAGAGCCTCAAATAGGGTAACCAAACTCCTCTGCAGCCCTCTCTAGTATTTGCTGGAAAATGGGAATCCTCAAATAACAAATTGGAACAATATATATATGTATCTCCTTAGTTTTTGCTTCTTTAATTCGTTCCTTGTTGAACACGAACAGAGCTCGAACTTAGTTTTAACCAGTGATAAACAACTCAAGCTGAGCCAGATCATACACAAGCTCGCTAGGGTTGGGTTTATCAACATCCTCATTTTCAATTATTAAGCTACATATATAGTTATTGAATTAATCAACGTTTACTTACGAAACCATGTTTTGATAATGAATGATTGACCCGACTATAAGTTGTATTTGAATTATGATTCAAACTTTAAATGCAGACAATCACTTACTAATTTGCACTCGTCAGGATGTATAAATTTGGTCTATACATAAACGAACCGTTAAGTTTTTTGACGAAAGTGACCATGTGTCATTTTTTTTAGACAACATCACGTGTACAACACGTAATCATTCTGTTAAAAACTTAACAGTTTGTTTACGTGAGAATCAAAATAACATAAATTAAATATTTTAGAGATCAAATTGACAAAATTGATACATTAAAGACTAAACCGACAAAAAATGTATACTTTAAGAATCAAAAGTACTATTAATCCAAATATTAAACTCAGACCCACAATTACTATGGAAAACAAAATGAAAATACATTTCTTCTTTGAACTAAATAACAATACAATGACTAGGGGTCTAGGAATCACTTAGCCTTGAATCCATGAACATTTGGAAGATGGATTCATTGCAAGCCAAAACAATGGCTTTCTGACTAGGGTAGCCATACTCCTCGGCAGCACCCTCTAGCAGTTGCTGAAAAATGGGATTACTCAAATAACGTATTGGAACAATGTATCTCTTAAGTTTTTCTCCTACATAAACCACAAAATGCCCTTTTGGAGCTCTTTTCATCCCTTCCCTCTCATATATTTTACCCATTTCTGAACTTTTGAGACTCACCCACAAGACCTAATGTAGAGGCATGAGACTGAATCATATGTAACTTAAAAGGGGTTTCATCTATATATACATATATAGGAGTCATTTAACAGGAAAGTTAACAGTATCCAACTGTAAATGCATGTTGACAACGTGCCTTATCTTGTGTGTGTGAGAGAGAGAGAGAGTGAGAGAAAGAGAGCATAGCTTTTGGATTGTTTGAAGGGGAACATGTTGTGTCGTAGGAGGGAACTTGGTTGCACATGGCTCCAGGGTTTGTTAATATGGAAATGAGAATCACATGCATGATTGAAAAGAGATTGAATTTAGAACGATCTTAAGTATTCATCACTCGAAATTATTTTTTGTGGAGAATTAAACTCTTTTAATGAAAGTAAAATTGTCTATTACTCATTTCTCTTTAGAAGTCCACATAAGGCTGCAACTTTTTTTTTATTATACCAATGTTATTATAAAATGAGATTGTTTTATGATTGGTCCCACATTTTTTAGTGAATTGAGTGACAGATCTATTCGGTGCCAGCCTTGAAATGACTTAACATGAATGAAAGAGTGCATTTCCATGAAAGTTAACACACCCATTTGTGGCCCACCTTTTTTATTTGGAAACACTGCACTTTTGGTTGCTTGTACTCGGTAAAATTAGGAATTTCAGCTTGAATTCGATTTATACAAGTTTAGCTTATTTTGTAAATAAATCAAACTTAACCAATTTTTTAAATGAGCTCGACTCGACTCTGTTCTAACTTAACAAACTTAATTTGTTTATATGCAAATACTTAGGTTCAACTCTTTTTGGGCTTGTTAAAACTCAGTTTGGTTTTTAAACGAGCCGAACTTGAATAAATTTTTACTTTTAAATTTGGTTAAGAAAAAGAGTTTTTTAGCCTTGACTTGAGCCCGTTCAATTATCAACCTTATCCATAAATATTTAATTTAATTGTTATGCCATGTCATCACCACTACGAAGTGTAACCGATCAATTATGAATGATCATGTCATATTGAAAGATCCCGTAAAAATTGTATGACCACCAATAACTTTTATATTCAAAACTATCGTATAGGATTAGTGATGTTCACTTATCTTATTTATTTGTTTATTATTGATCGATTACACTACGTGACAATAATGATATGACGAAATAGTTCTATTCATTGAATATTTACCTAGCAGTAGCAAGACTTCGTGGCAACCCTTTGTTGGGTTGTCTTCTTTATTTGGAAACAGTGTAATTTCATTCCTTGTACTTAAATATAGGAAACGGATCAGCCAACATTATTCTAGGTCTCTTTCAGGCTTCTCCTTATATCTCTTTTACATTCTCAAATCGTTTTTTTAAAAAAATGCTTAAGAACGAGGAACTGATCAAAGACTCTAATTTTGAAAACCAACCCCCCCCACCCCCCAAAAAAAAAAAAATATATCAAAGACTCTCTAAAATATCCTTCACGACTCCTATCTGTCGTGTCAACCAATCGACAAGGATGTACTTTACACCCTTGTCCAGATGAGGTCTTATAAGGTCACGTTGCTCATGCAGCATGACTTGACAAGTTTGATAGTTGTCAAACACTCGTGTCTAAGTTATGTTCTATTATAATTTATTCAACCCGTCTTTCGATTTATTGGTGTATAAGTCATGTATATTATGTTCCTCTTGTGTTAGTTGGGTTAGTATCGACACACAAATTGTTTGGGATTGGGAATCAATGACTCCCTGGCAACACTCTGGACCAAACAGTGTAATTTCGGTTGCTTGTACGGGTACAAACCTTCTTTCCCACAACCAACAATGTTTACAGTTGGGAAAGCGATAAATACATAGTGATGAAACATTTCTAAAATACTTCAAGATGAAGACACGTGTTTTTGGTGTCACTAAATTTTTGTTACTGTGATCATGACACGTACTCATCGGTTCACAAGTCCCTCTCCCCCGAGGTACTGATCGTAGGGATTAATGGCATCCAGTACGTTTACGTACCGACACGTATCCCTCGGTTCGGTGATATGGTACATTGGTCCCTATATGTACCTCCCTCTCGGCTCCGAGATGTACCTCCCCCTCGGTTCCGAGGTGTGCCGTCTAGAATGACATTCTCTACTCCCGCAGAGGCTATTGATGTACAGGTCACTAGCTTAGGCTAGGCTAGGTTAGCCATCATGACCTCGTCTTATACAATTGGTGTTAGAAGGCACAGGAAGACAGAAGACGCAGCCAATGGGGAAGGGGCACGTGGCATATTGTGTCACATTAGAGACAAAAAGATCGGATGTCCTTGCTGACACACAACTTGGGAAAAGCAAGCATTTAATTAAGTCATTCCCTTGATGAGACAGCATTTAATGTGGTAAGGCTCGGAAGAGAAAGACAATAAATGTCTCTGATACTAGGCATTTATTACTCTCTTGCCGAGAAGAGCTCATTGAATATTCGGCAGGTCGATGACGACGCATTGATTGCTTGGGGTCCCAAGCAGTTAAGAGAGAAGACATTCCTCATAGGAATCAGTGCGCACGTTGCCTGTACCTAATGATCATCTACTAACCACATTGACAGCAATCATGAGTTTTTGAGGTATAAATACTCCTCGCAAAAGGCAAGACGGTACGCAACAGAAAACCTTTCAAAAAACATATACTCAATGTTTTCTTCTTCTCCTCCCTCTCAAATACTGACTTGATCGTCGGAGGGGATACGCCAAAAAATACTCTGGTGCCCTTTTAACTTGTCTTTCTTTGTTCTAGAAACCTTCCTCAGCCTTACTGGATCTCTCTGTTGATCCACGTGGGTCTTCCATTATCGTTTCAGGTTAGCATAGGACCTCACAGGCTGTTCCCAATAGCAAGGTTGATCATTTGATTGACTGACTTGAGTTCACCACGGGAGAGATCTATTCTCGTATTTATATTGTGCAAGATCCTGCACACACAATCTGGCGCCGTCTGTGGGAAACGACTAGTTCTCCTAGTTTCTTCTCTGTAAAGAACAGTGACCATGGTGAATACTCGACAAAAAGGGAAAGGTCCCTAGCAAAAGAGTCTTGAATTACGAGCTTTATGTCATGATAGAGGAAGGGATCACACTGATGGGAATAGAAATGTCTTTATTCAGTCAAGAGAGCCTACTCCTCAGACCAGTATGGGCATCAGGTCAAGAGGAACCGCCCCCTTGGCTCGCCAACTAGCGGAGGTGATCGAAGAAAAGTTTGGAGATCGATTATGACAGTTGGAAAAGGACAATGTGAACGTCCTAAGCCGGCTCAACGAATTCGCCGCCTCTAGCAAAGGGTCGAGGGACTCATTCCTTTCTCGGGGGCTCCCCGTCCGGGAGGCGAAAACAAAGGATTTGGGGAATCATTTAAATGACAAAGCGGAAAGCTCCAGGGCCCCAAAGCGACCAAGAGCCAACGAGCGCCCTCTTAACGACCATTCCAGGAAGACAAGGTCTTTAGTCCTGGACGACCTCCGACGAGGACTGTCAAGACGGAGGAAGGGAGATGAGTCAGAAGAGGATTCAACCCTATCCACGCTACGCCCAGGAAATGGGGGACCTATTGACAAACTCAGAGACTTCAGAAGACACCCCGTTGGGGAGAAAATTGATCTTAGGGCTCGGTTGGAATCCAGGAGAAAGGACAAGGCTGTCCAGGATGATGTCGAAGACGAGGTCATGCAATCACCCTTTACCAGGGATATCACAGAGATGGATGTTCCAAAAAAAATTATCGTTCCGAGGTTCAAAACTTATGATGGACGGTCCGATCCCGAAGCCCACCTCAGGCAGTACAAGCAAATGATGTCCCTGTATCATTCAGACTAACGGTTCCTCTACCGAGTGTTTCCCATGAGCTTGGGGGACTCCGCGATAAAATGGTTCAAGGCTCTTCCCCCCAACAGCATTGGATCATTGAAGGAGCTGACGAGACAGTTCCTAGCCCGATTCATTACAGGGAGTAAGCGGCCTAAAGACATCGGATCATTACTAACGCTCAGACGGAAGAAATCTGAGACCCTCCGCCAGTATGCCATCCGGTACTGGAAGGAGGTTAATGAGGTAGAAGGCTGTTCAAAAGTCATGGCAACGGCGTCTTTCAGGCTCGGCTTAGCAAGGGACACAGACCTGTACCGATCCTTGACCAAAAGGACTCCCTCGAATATGGGCGAATTGATGGCCCGAATAAATAAATACTCTAGGATCGAGGATGAGATGGGAAGCAACAAAGGCAGAACCCTCCAACTTAAGAAAAAAGAGAGGGAGCGGGAGGATACTTCCCGAAATGGACTGCTACTCCCTCCGGGGGGTCATTCAAAGGAGTTCACACTATGTTCAAGGAACCCATCTACAAGTTGCTCCACAAGATCAAGCATGAGTCATTCTTCAAGTGGCCGCCCAGGATGCAGAGCGATCCTCTACCCGTGATCAAAGGGTCAAGTGTTCCTATCACCAGGGTTTCGGCCATCGCACCGAAAGCTGCAGGGTATACAAATCTTTCTTGGAGAGGTTGGTCCGAGACAGATACTTGAAAGAATACATAGAGCCCCGGACGGAAGAGAGACGTACCCTTGTCTCGATCGAGGAGCCGGACAACGTCATAGATGTGATCCATGTATGTCCGCTAGATCGTTCCACGTCCAGGGAACTCGAGTTCGATCTCAAGAGGGTAGCTTCTACAAGAAAGGTGGCCGAGAATGATGGGGGGCCACCTAGTAAAAGGGCTAGGATTGGCAAGCCGAGCATCACGTTCTCCGACGCAGACTTGACGGGCGTGGTGACTCCTCATAACGACGCCCTTGTCATAACCCTGAAGATAGGCAAGTTCGACGTCAATAGGGTATTGATAGACTCTGGGAGTTCCTCAGAAGTAATGTACTCTGACACTTTAAAACGGATGGGTCTTAGCCACAAGGACCTTACCAAGGTCAAGACACCCCTCATCGGATTCAACGACTCGTTCGCCCTGCCCACAAGCAAA